CCGCTGGTCTTAATTAGGACTAAAAAGTATTCCAATTTGTTTGCAACTGTGCTACTCGTGAACTCGGCACCATCGCCGTAGATTCGCAGCGGAACACATTGCTCCGGATCCCAAACCTAAGCTACAACATCGTCCTGAATTCTACACTTGTTCGATGCATACATACTCAAGATGCAGCTGTGCAGCGTTTTCTTGGACCCACTGTTGGTCCGGCTGCTCTGACCAGTATTCTCGAACCTTGGATTGCCAACAGAAGCAAACACATCAGTGTTCCCAATTTTAAAGGCAACACGAGTAACATGCCAGAACCAAGCAGCTTGTTCCAGAGATTCGTACAGCTGGTGTGAGTTCCCCGATGCGTGCAGGAATCCAACAACTTCATGCGGCAGCATCATATGATGATTCACAGCCCTCGTTCGAGGGCCGTGTGCATCATCGTACACGGCGGTGAGCTCGAACCTCGGATGGAAACTACATTTCTGTTGGGTTGCAATATTCCAAACCAGCCTCACAGGATTCAACAGACCGACAAAAGGCTGCAGTTTGGAAACCTGAAGGATGGTGGAAGTGCATGTCGCCATGGTTGTTTGTCCACCCACCTCTCGAGCAATCTCATACGGCCCCATGAGCCGCCAGATGTCTCTGAACGGAATGCAGTAGCCAGGTCCAACAAGTCTTTCCTCCGGGATAGATGAATCAATGCTATATGGATCGAATCACATCCCCCCGTTTGCAATGCAGCACTGACACCTCAACAGAGCATGAGGCAGATTGTAGAGTCGCTCCAGAGAGACGGCCAGCTCAGACAAAGGCACCTTCAGGGTTAGTTGGTTTCCATCGTGGTCTAAACAATTGCACCCTCAATTCAGTTGGCAACCTGGCCTGTCCCTGAGATAGAAGCCTCAAATTCTGTTGAGTTGTCTCTTGGACATAGCGGTGAATAGCATCGGAGCCGATCGACTCCGAGGTTGACATCTTGAATCCTTCTCTCCTGGGCTGTTCTCGGATGCACTTCACTAACCAAGAAAACACAAGATTCGAATGCTTCGTGAGAGGGGCTCGGCGACATATCATATGATCGCGAGGTCTCGATCCTTGGCTGTTTTCTGGAGCACTGATAAGCACTGACATGGTTTGGTGGTTTATAGGGTTTACGATTGTTACTACCGAAGAACACTACAAAAAACTAAACATGTAATCAAGCAAAGGTCTAGTCTCGGAAATGTATGAACAGCATATCATCCGGCCAGCATCGAATCATGATCGCGGCGAAGGCTTCACATCAAAGGTTTATGGAACAGGCCATGTGGAAACAACAACTGCGGTTGTGCCTGAGGTTTGCCTTGAAGCTTGGACCCCTAAACCCTAGAAACCTAAACCCTATAAGCCCGATAACCTCTGACAGTTTGTGTTCTAGGGTTCCTGTCGACATAAAGTCTACGGCACCAGTTATTGGGTAGTATACACCGACACCTTACGAACCCTTAAACCCTAAACCCTGTACCTTTTGATTCTTTTGACACATATGTTTAGAATCTAAATTTAGGGCTCCGAAGCCACTGGGTATGGATGAAGTATAGGCACCACAGACCAGCTGATCAAGCTGAGGAACGGCATTCAATCATCGCTGCGATTCTGGTATGCGGCGTGATGAATCGAACTCGAAGGCAACTCGTTCAGGATTGCATGTTTTCTCATCAGTTCAGAAGAAAGCTCTGCAGAAGCAAAACACAGTTGCCATGCCCTTGGCATGACCACGTGCAGCCAGTGTCAAGTGCTTTGCCCAGAAAGCATGCGTGAAGTTTGAAAGCAGCCTGCATGCGTGTACAAAAGTGTATATACAATACACATGCACTCCAACACTGCTGCTCCCCTGGCCCCTATGCTTGCATCCAGCCACTCATTTACCTGCGTTTTGCAGGCGGTTCAGGATCCTCCTCCGGCCATTCTTCCTCTGCGGCGGCTTCGGCGGCATCTTTTTCATCTGCATCATATCCATCATCCCTGTCGTCATCATCATGCTTTTGCTTTTCTTTCTTCTCTTCTTTTTCCCTTTTTCTCTTTTCCGTAGCCAGGCCTGCGAGGACAGGTTAAGGTTGAGGTTTCAGGGGTAGGGTTTAGGGTTTTAGGGTTTAGAGTTTTAGGGTTTAGGGTTCAGGAATTCAGTTTTCAGGGCATCAAGCCGAGGTACGTCTCTTGTGCGAATCCACAATGTCCTCGCCGTTGGTGATCTTCTTCTGGCATTCCTGGACGAAATTTATAAGGCTGGTACTTCGGGTGTTTCTAGTGCTGAATTTCAGATGGAGAGATCGAGGCAGCCTCCAGCTCCACTTTGTATCCATCGAGTATTTCATAGCATTCGTTCACCGGCTTGCACGAGAACACCATCTGCTGAATCCTGGGATGTAGCTTGGGTCGGGTTCAGGGTTTACAAATAGGTTCAGCATCGATGAGGATTTATAAGGCTTGTGGTTTTGGAACGTGACATGTTGCAACTGCATGCATGCCGAGCCACTCATTGTAGATCTTGGTGCACGTCGTGTTGACTTTCCCCAAGCTTTCCACCATTTTCTGTGCAGGGTTCAGGGTTCAGGGTTAAGGGTTCAGGGTTCAGGCTTAAGGTTTTTTAATGTTTTGGGTTTCGGGTTTAGGGTGTGCCTCTTGGTGGAGAAGCCCACAGGAGCTGATCTCCGATGCGATGTGCACAGCTTTGTCGGCCATATTACGAATCCTCGGCTGCAAACGATTAACCTATAGCCCATTAAATGTTTCTACTACAAATAGATTCAGGCAAGATGCCCCAGGTGATCCTTTTGGAAATCCTTCTTCAGTTTCTCGTCGGCTGTCAGTTCCTGGGAAAGTAGGAGTGTTCAGGGCATTGGGTTTAGGAACTAGGGTTTCGGGTTTAGGCTTAGCTAGACTCTTTTGTTGCAATCGCACACACATCTCGATCCTTCTTCGACTTCGCTTTGTTCCCTGCTTTCTTTGACTCGGCCGTGCCAGTCTTCATCCCGGCGATCTTCTTCTCTAGCGTGTCTGCGAGGGCTTGCCGCTCCTGTCGGTTCTGCGAAGGCTGGACCTTGGCCCGCGTTTTGGAACCCACTCTGGAGATGTTCGAACCTTGGATTGCATGGAGGACAACAACATCACACAGCTACCGAGATATGCAAAGGAACTGCAGCCGGGATTCTCAGGTGGTCCGTGCACTTATAGACCTTGTACAATTTCCAAAGGTCATCTGAGAACTGGGGGTGGGGTTTTCCCACCTGACCTTAGCTGGGTCAGAAAGGAGGTGTATGTTACTACTTTGAGCAGGAACAAGAAAACAGAGAGAGAGAGAGAGAGAGAGAGAGAGAGAGAGAGAGAGAGACAGAGAGAGAGAGAGAGAGAGAGAGAGAGAGAGAGAGAGAGAGAGAGAGAGAGAGAGAGAGAGTGTGACTTATAATCTCAGGGTTCCACTTTGTTGGATCGACTTGATATACTCAGGGCCGCCAGGTAAGTGGTTGTATTTCTGGATAATCTCGCAGAGAGGGAGCTCGACGAAGTGTTCGGTGTCTTTGGATTCACTGAGCCTGAGCTGAAGTAGTCGAAGGCTTTGTGAGTTAAGGGGTTCAGGGTTTAGGGTTTGAGAGAGAGAGAGAGAGAGACAGAGAGAGAGAGAGAGTTTAGGGTCGCAGGGTTTATAGGGTTTGTAAGTTAAAGCTTTGAGGTTAAGATTCTATAGGACCAGTGGCTCCTCGAAGTACGGCTGAATCTCGATGGAGGGCATGTCCCGGTCGAGAAGATATGCCTTCAAGAATTGAAACCTCAGCTGCAACGAATCGAGAAGGCCACACAGTTGTGGATTGTTAAGGTTCAGGGTTCGGGGATGTTGGTTCGTACAGTTAATAACATACACTGCTGCCTCGGGACTTCTCAGTTGGCGACACTGCCGCCTGCCATTGTTCAACCAGACCCTTGCGTAGTCCTACCAGGGTTCAAGGTTTTAGGTTTAGGGTTTATAAGGGTGCATAAGACAGCTTGCAGTATATACGAAGGGGGGTAGGAACTCAAAGGCTTGCCTCTGGCATTGTTCATTCGCCGGCGAAGGCCCTCGTTGAGGCGTTTCCGTTCGGCCAGGTCGATGTCCTCGGGTTTCTCCAGAGCCTCACGACATAATGCCCAATCTAGTTTTAAGAATTGTGAAGGTTCGGGTCCAGTGCAGTGTGAGCCACTTCAATCTGAGCCCTTTGTTCCTCTGTCAGCTTTCGAACCTCAGCGAGAGATGCCATGGCAGGGGATTTATGTTTCTAATATGGTTTATATGCAGGGCACTAGAATGTAAGCCGAAAAACATCATTCGGGTTCCCTGGGAACATGAAGCCCGTTTTCTTGGGAGATTCCTGGTCAGCCCAAGAAGGTTCGGGCTCCTGGTCCTGGCTCTCTTCCGTAACATCACTGGCCCAGGACTGCCGCGTGAAGCTGCGGCGTGGCCTGCAGGTTCATGTGTGTCTCTGCAGCACAGATAGTGGTTTTCAGACGATTGATCGAACCAAGCGACTTCTTTGACTGGGGATCCTCCCACTGATCTGGCAGGCCTAGCAATGAATGCAGGGTTCAAGGTTCGGGGTCTGGGGTTGTGGATCGCTAGGGAAGGGATCGAGGGCTCCCTTACAAGTTTTCCCTTACAAGTTTGGATGCAGCAGACGAACCCCCGGAAATCCCTACATATGTTTCCAGGCCTTTCGACTGGCTCGCATCTTCCCAGGTTCTCTTTTCCGGTGCAACAGCACGACCTTCCCAGGAGGAGCCTCGGATCAATGCATCACAAACAATGCATGTGTATAGGTACATATGCAACAGATATACAATTTACATACATCATGGAAAAAAGGTACGAGCTATATTCTAGTTGAGCTAAGGATCTTGACGGGCCACTTTCCTGGGGACCCCACCACTGATCATTGTTGTCTCTGGAACCGAACAGATCTTCCATGCCCTGTCTAGTGACCAAGCCAAACTTACCACCCTTCTCGGTGCTTTCCTGGCCTTTCCCCTTGCCCTTGTCCTGGCCTTTCTCTTTTCCGTTCCCCTTTTCCTGGCCCTTCTCGGTGCTCTCCTGGGCTTTCCTTTTGCCCTTCTCCTGGCCTTTTTCCTCTCCTTTTTCCCTTCTCCTGCCCTTTTCCCTTCTCCTCGCCCTTCTCGGTGCTCTCCTGGCCTTTCCCTTTGCCCTTCTCCTGGCCTTTCACCTGTCCTTTTCCCTTCTCCTGGCCCTTCTCGGTGCTCTCCTGGGCTTTCCCTTTGCCCTTTTCCTGGCCTTTTTCCTGTCCTTTTCCCTTCTCCTGGCCCTTCTCGGTGCTCTCCTGGGCTTTCCCTTTGCCCTTTTCCTGGCCTTTTTCCTGTCTTTTTCCCTTCTCCTGGCCCTTCTCGGTGCTCTCCTGGGCTTTCCCTTTGCCCTTTTCCCTGGCCTTTCACCTTTCCTTTTCCCTTTTCCTGTCCCTTCTCGGTGCTTTCCTGGCCTTTCTCTTTGCCCTTTTCCTGGCCCTTTTCTTTTCCTTTTCCCTTCTCCTGGCCCTTCTCGGTGCTTTCCTGGCCTTTCTCTTTGCCCTTTTCCTGGCCCTTTTCCTTTCCTTTTCCCTTCTCCTGGCCCTTCTCGGTGCTTTCCTGCCCTTTTCCTTTGCCCTTTTCCTGGCCCTTGTCCTTTCCTTTTCCCTTCTCCTGGCCCTTCTCGGTGCTCTCCTGGCCTTTCCCTTTGCCCTTGTCTTGGCTTTTCTCCTTTCCTTTCCCCTTCTCTTGGCCTTTCTCGGTGTTTTCCTGGCCTTTCACCTTTCCTTTTCCCTTTTCCTGGCCCTTCTCGGTGCTTTCCTGGCCTTTCTCTTTGCCCTTTTCCTGGCCCTTTTCCTTTCCTTTTCCCTTCTCCTGACCCTTCTCGGTGCTTTCCTTGCCTTTCCCTTTGCCCTTTTCCTGGCCCTTTTCCTGGCCTTTTTCCTTTCCTTTTCCCTTCTCCTGGCCCTTCTCGGGGCTCTCCGGGGCTTTCCCTTTGCCCTTTTCCTGACCTTTCTCCTGTCCTTTCCCCTTTTCTTGGCCCTTCTCGGTGCTTTCCTGGCCTTTCCTCTTGCCCTTGTCCTGGCCTTTCACCTTTCCTTTTCCCTTCTCCTGGCCCTTCTCGGTACTTTCCTGGCCTTTTCCTTCGCCCTTTTCCTGGCCCTTCTCCTTTCCTTTTTCCTGGCCTTTCGCTTTTCCCTTTCCCTTGTGGTCCTTCTCGGTGCTTTCCTGGTCTTTTCCTTTGCCCTTTTCCTGGCCTTTCTCTTTTCCTTCTCCCCTTTCCTGGCCCTTCGTGCTCCATCCTGTGCCACAGGATTAATTAAGCGGTACAGGTATGCTTCGTTGCAATAATAGATGTATACAGAGCATACATTGTACAATCTTTTTTGGACTAAGCAATATCTTAACTTATTCCTGTATATAGTGGTTATTTTAACACAATGTATATCCACACCTGCGATTTGTGTTTGTGTTTTGTATACAGAAGCACTACAAAAAAAAAAAGTCCTGGCTGCCACCACTTGTTGGCTTCTGACCAGCCATCATACATCTCTTGTTTTTCTTCGGCCGATCTGTTTCTATCGACTAGAGCAGGCTTTCCCATGGCTTGCATGCAGAGTTTGAAACACAAAAGCACACTTACACTCTTCAATAAGAGACGTTCAGGGGCTCAATAAGAGACGTTCAGGGGCTCAATAAGAGACGTTCAGGGGCGACATAAGAGACATTGGCGACCCAAATAAGGTTCACTGGGAGCACATGTAAGAGACAGTGGTGATCTAGATAGACATGTGCACGTACACGATCAAGTCGTGCACGAAAAACTTGAGACCTCCAAGGATCAAGAGATACACGCTGATACACGCCTAAGTCTCTTATTAAGAGACAGATACACGCAGATACACGCCGATACACGCCTCGGTCCCCGATGCTGAAAGTTTTGATTTTCAGCGGGCAGTCACGAATCTTTGAAGCCGGCAACCACCAGCCATCTTTTAGATACACTGGCATGACATGCGGACCCCTTCGGTGTTAGCGGAAGCATGTTTCCTGACTTTATGTGCCCGTGCATGGTCCACATGAGATGCAGCCAAGCTCACCAAGCTCAGGATACATGGCCAGATGCATTAATTGCACTGGATATCGCGATCTTCGTCCTGGAGAAGCAGATCAGCGGGCCAAGACACATAAAGTGGGTAGTAGTAGTAGTAGTAGTAGTAGTAGTCGTAGTAGTAGTAGTAGT